TTTTTTTTTTTTTTACTATAGAGCGGGTTGCGCGTACGCATTTCCTGGAAGGAGCGGTGGGTGGGAGCTTACTTCCAGGAATTTCGACGGCACATCAATGGTAAACTTTAAAGCCACGTAGCTCGGGAACTAAACGACGTATCGACGTGAAACAAAGTGGACGCGAAAAGGTGTCGGTTCTTCTCTCTTTCAAGAATTGATCATTCCTTTGGACTTAGTTTCTCACTTCTTGGTTGAAAGGAATTTTGTTCTCTTCTTTTTTTTTTTTGTTTTGAAGACTGGGGAATTTGTTGAGGGAATCAAGGAATTTATATAAATTGGCTGACAAGTTTCTGGACTTTTCGACTTTTTGGTTAAAAAGAATCTTGTTCCCTTTTCTTAGACATAAGGAAATTTATAATATAATAAAACTGGCTGATAAATCTTTCGAGTTTATCTTAAAGAACCTTCTAATGAATAAATTAGATAACAGAATACCTATAGTTCTCTGGTGCTTGAAAGAAATGTTTCTCCGACGACTGAGAAAATTTATCACGAGTTATTTCTACAGTGACAAATGTACAATAAAATTAGACAAAGACGTACAGATAACAACGGTAATCAGTTAATTCGATTTTCCGGATTGGGAACGTCGAAAATATCAATAAACAATAAACAACTATAAGTTTCACGCTGTCTTTCTCGTTAAAAGTTTCTCCAAATGTTTCAATTTCATTTCTCGTTAGAAATGTTTCAATTTTGCGAATCCACGAGCGAAGGATGCTACAGCCTCAAAGAAATAACTCGCGTCCGACGAGTGGAATTCCACCGAATGGACTGGCTCGTAAATCACGCGAGCCCTGTTCCAAGCACGAGATAACGAGAGTGGAAGGTATCGATTAACATTCGACGGACGTCGGCCACGTTCTTAATCCCATCAATAGGCAATAATTCAACGAGAACCGGCTGGACGGTTCATTAGCGTCCACTGTCGAAAGCGGCGCCGCGAAAACAAATGTCCTTGCACACCATCGAAACGAATTTCCTCCGCCAGACCATAAGTGACCAACGATGCGCGCGTTACTCCCCTCTCCTCCCTACAAATCCGTGCACCTCGCAGATTACAATGTCGTAAATCGTATTCACGATCGGGACTTAAGTTCGAGGGGATTTATCGACGTCACAAATCACGAACGGTGGCATTATGGTTTGGGATATTAGGGGCAAGTAACTACGCCCAGTTGCCACTTGCACGTATCGCGAGAATGAACCTTCCCGCGCATATTATTAGCGAATAATAATCACGTTCAATACTTGGACGAGACTCTGTAATATTTCTCCTGGTCTCATGGAATCCAATCGTCCATTTAATTTTAAGGTTGTTGCCGAAGGGTTGTCGTGGATGTTGATGATGATTCTCTCATTAAATTTGGGACATAAACATTTTCGATGGGCGTTTAGTTAGAGATATTTTCATTTTTTTTTTTTTTTTTTTTGAAATTGGAAGAGGAAGTTAAAAGAGGTACTCGAAAAATTCCAAAGTCCAATTGATTCGAGAATTCTCCCGTATCTTTATGAAATTTTTAATGAAAAATGTCCTTGAAAAAAAGAGGAGGAGAAAAAAGAAATTATTCCGAAGATTTCAATTCCATTATGTAATTTAATAGGTCTTGTTAATCTGATTGAGAATAATTAATAACGACGGGAAATTTAATTCGTTGAATTAGCCAGTCAAATTTCAGCTCCGAGAGAGAAAGAGAGAAAGAGAGAGAGAAACGACGCTCTACATTCACTTGGCTAATAATTAAGTTTGTCTAGAGAATGCCTTACCGTACGTTTGTCATGAATTTCAGCTGCTTTCTAGCGTAATTGTTCAAGTACACACAAAGCCCGTCTTAGTTGCTCGCAATTACACACAGGATTTCATAACATTGTTGTCTGACTGTGACACACGGTAAACAATGCAAATTGTTCAGGAACTCTTCATGCACAATTGTTGAACACTTCAACGTTAATCGTAGAAGGCTAGAAAATGCCTTGAATTCAGAATTCTAACTTTCAGAAGACGTCGAAATATCGAGCTTTTGCAACCCGGGATTCCGGGAATTTTCGAAATTTTAATCCCTGGAAAATTCGGAATTCTTAGGATCTGGAGTTGTTAAAATTCTGGACTCTCAGAGTTCGGAGTTCTGGAAAGTTAGAACCCTTGGAGCTTGGAATTCCCGAAATTTAAAATCTTTAGAATCCTTGGAATGTGTCTTCAGAATTTCAACAGTGTTTGAAATTCTGACTACTCGGGAATTCTTGAACTCTGATTTAATATAGTTCAAGAGACGATTCTAAAATTTCGACTAAAGAAAAAGACACTCTCTACCAGTTAATTGGAAATTAATTAGTTAGTTAACAATGCGTTGGATATAAAAGTTACTTCAAATTTTAGGATAGAAGGATCTTGGCAACTGTGTTTAATTATTCGCCTGACAGATGTTCATTAAAATCCACGTTATTGTGTCTGACTCGTCTGTCTTGAGTTCTCTCTGTCGAACGATGCAACAGAACGATGCGAATGCTATCTGCATGCTACCTTTGTTACAATTTTAATCCCTTGGATCGTGCCAGGTTCGTTAGCCAGATTATTAACACGTCTGCGAACGAAACGCAATTTGCTCTCAATTGAACTCGTGTAACGTTTCGGAGCTGTGTAGTCAAGTTAATTAAAAACTTTTTTTTTTTTCTTCTAACAAATAGGATTCCAACGAGAGGCGGCAGACCGGAGAATAGTTGTAAAATTGAAAAAAAGTCTGACAAGCCATTGTTTCACACGAAGTTTCTAACAATTATTTTCTAACAATCGACCTCGATAAGTTCCTTCATTTCTTTATTTTTTTTTCTTTCCTTTTTTTTTGAAAAAACCGAAGGAGAACCTCGACTTAGAATTTTGGCATTTATTTGACAAAATAAATAACATATTCCCTGCAATTAATTGGAAACTTGTATTTCTTTAACTACATTCACGGAAGTACAAATTTGAGTCTCGCGACAATAAAAATGAAAATATATATTTTCTGAAAGTCGAAATTAAACGTAACAACAACAAGAATTAACAGTAAATGATAAATAATAGACAAACGATCAATTCCACGAAAATCTCAAAATCGAAAATTCCTAACTCCCCCCCAATGAAATTTCGATACGCGAGGAGGAGATGGGGGTTGAACCTCTGAAAGAGGGTGACAAACAGAGGGTAGAACGAAAGGGGATAACGTCCGCCACCAGATGGGAAGCCACGAGAGGTTGCAGGCTTTACACATTCGCCAGTGAAACGGGTCAATCACTGGCGCGACCTTTCAACCCGCGTGCCCGCAAACATCTGTTACGAGTCGAAACGACGAAATAATTCGCGTTAACAACGTACAGAGTGTCCGCTGTTGACGAGAGAATTCACTCAACGTTGAATAACGATAATTTTCATAATAACACGAAACGAGGATTTTGACGAGAACGCAAACAAACACAAAACGCGATCGGGATTGAATGAGCCGCCGATTCGGAACGGTTTTCTAGCTCGTTTGCCCGATTAACTGATAACGCTCGCCGGCTGGTGACATTCCCCCGGTGGAAAAAATCGATTAGAATCGGACAAGCGACGGGGATTAGTGGAATGAGGTCGTGTATGGTCAGACAAGTGGATCAATCAGTAGAACAGCTCGCTGCTTCGGCCGACAGGTGGCCACGTCAGTAGAATCAGTAGGTTTACGGTTAGACAGCAATACGGGAAGATCGAATCGAGGATAACTTAAGAATATTTTAAGACTGCTACGTCTTTTTAAAAACACGACGTCTAAAATATGTTTC